AGAATGATCCTCACTTACGCGATAATTGCAATCAAATTAAGGTGTGATCAATTTAAAAGGGCATCCTCGTTTCGGCACTCGTTCCTTAAAATTTTCGTAAATTTCAAATTACAAATATAATTCTTTGTTAATTGCTATCGTTACTGTGTTCTTCTTGAATTTTTGCCATATCACCGATTGAAATGGCTGAACATTTATTCCGTAATTTGCGACCGAACTTCCGACTGGTACTCGTACGATATCCAAACATATACGAACGGAAGCTTCAAAGAAACGACTGGATCGTACGATGAATTATGCGAGTAGCTTGCCAACGAAACGTTTGGCCAGCTTCCCGAAAGCCGCACATCTGAATTCGTTGACCTTAATGTGGCAGACAAGCGCGATATTAATGGGGATTTTTCGAAAGGAAACGGGGTTGTTGCGGGCTCGATGTTGAAACAATGTATTCTGGTCAGCAAAAGGAGGATGTAATTTCGTTTATCGCCGTTGCTTCTCGTTTCGATGAACAACGGTTCTGCTTTATAGACTCGTAACCGTCCCTATGACGAAGGTATACCCTCCCTTCGGACGTCCTTCGGGTACTTTCCTGGGTGCCTGGCTGTACCCTTGGCTCATCGAGCCAAACGTCAATGATGACCTCACTTTTATCCGTATACTGTTAAACGATTCTCCTAGATGGAAGATGGAAGTTGGTACAGTAGGTACATTTTACGAGTTTGATATTATTCATAAGGCAATGAAATATCGAGCTACTCTAGTACCAAACGGGTTCAGGATAAATAACGAAACTCGTAAATTAGCGCGAATATCCTTTATATTGATCGTGCAGGAAGTGGGAGACGTTTTCAGAGCAACGAAACGCACCTCCTTTATCCAAGAAATTTATTGTTACCACGACTGGCGATCCAACTGGGACGTTCAGGACGTTATTCCATTTTTGGCCAGTGTTTCGCGTGTGATGGTCTCGCGTCGTTGATCGCGATGTTAATGGCACGAACGTTTCTCGGAGGGTGGTTTTTCTTTTTTTCTTGGACAGCCATGAATTACGAGCTTTTCTCAGATGAAAAATTGTGCTCGGTCCCGTTTATTGGTGATTACTGCGTTTACGAGCTACGATGCGTATTTACTGAGAGATGTTAGTCACCGGATTTAGGCTAGATGCTCCGGAGATTGTCGCCAGCTTCGCAGGGTGTGTTTCTTGCGTCTCATGGAAATATTCTAATGAGATGGAAAGCCATTGCTCCAGTTTCGTTGGCCTGTTTCGACGCTAGTAGCAACCTCCTTTCGTCGCGTGCTAATGACGTCGACGATACTTAAGGCTGCTTTTTCCACCGGTGACACGAGTTTCGGGTTTGATAAATTACGCTCCCTGTTTCTCGACTAAAGTGTGTACAGTTTTATTATTCGTGTAACCTCTTGATCGATCAGAAACGAGATTCATTTCCAAACGGCATCGGATGGAGTTTTGCTTCGTGAAAATTTACCTTGACGTTTCGAGAGGTGTGTTTTCTTTGGTGAAAGGAACCGTTCCCTTTCAATACTCTCGAGTGTATCGGGTTTGATCCAATAGACCAATCGAATTGCCCTGGGATCCTTCGTTTGTTCTACACCGACAAACACCCCCGAAAGGGTATATTTTTCCGTTTCCACAGAAATGTAAATGCCGTCACACGTTTCGACGAGATAGTAAACACTGTTATCCCCATCAACGTTGTAAGAAATGCTTTCCTCTCGCCACGGGTAATTCGATGTTTTCCTCTAACCCGGTGAAAGATGGTGCAAGATCGACCGGGTCGGAAGACGAACGAGTCGAGACGTAAAAGCGATAACGGCTATTCGTTTTCTAACTTTCTTTGACAGATTGAGTTACTCGGGATCCGGAGGTGTAAGCTACTACAGGATCGATGTTTTCTTTCGTTAATCCATTTGTATCGTAGGGACAAATTTTTATTAATTTTAACCTTTCTACTATGTGTTCACGATAGGCGAGAAACTTAGTTGACCCGCAAAGGCAGAATAATGTTCGATGAAACGACGTCGTGCGCCTGCATTCTAGTTGCGCTTAGAAGGGACACGTGTGACACTTGTTACAACCTATTGGGGTTAAGCCACGATAACGTCGACAACTTGTTAAATAGCTAGTATAAGACGCATAAATTTTCGATATTGTTAGCGACGGAAACGGGGAACCTTTTTCAGGCCGTTTAAAAAAAAAAAAATCGTGTTTTACTGAGTGAAAAAGGGGTGGCGTAGGCTGCTCGTTAAATGCACCGACGTGTGAAGTTTCGAAACAACGCGACTGCCATCGTTATATACGTTGATACGGGAAATACAATTAAAACAATGACGAGTGGGTGGTTCGCGATGATTTTCTTCAACATTTAACACGTTGACTACGGTAGAAACAGCCATTCCTGGTACGGCACATTGTGATACGCATTGTTAATGATTTTCGAGATTAATTATGCAATTTCACGCTTCGGTTTGTTCATTTCAAATTGTAGTGTAATTCTAATAGTATTCAGAATTGAAATTATAGAGCTTTAAAATGTAAAACACGATCTGCTTGAGTATATTTTTTCATTATTAAATGAAATAATAATCTTTTTCTATTAACGAAAAAGTAAGGTTTCCATATATCGCACCGAGTTCTCAAAACGTCCTCTTTCGCAGAATCTCTTTTTCCACTTTTACACGTATTAAAACGTAAACGAGTTTGACAAAGCAAACATTAATATTACATCGTTGAATAAGACTTTAATTGCAACGTGTAATCTGGTCAGGAAGGATGAAATCGAGTTAGGTCCTGGTCTGCGGTGCAAATTACAAAATCATTTTCCCACTTAACTAGCCGGCCCGCGGTCGCGTTTTAACGTTTATCCACCAGCACACGTTCAGGTGATTTTAATGCCTTCAAACGGGGAACAAATCCGCTTCGTTACCGCTGGAAATCCGTTAAGAAATATTTCTTTTTTCATTCTCATCAAAAATGTCGGTTGTTTATCATAAGTATCTCGAGATAATAAACTTTATCTCCCAAGGGAATAAACTTTTTCTCCCTTATTTTTTATATACGATGTAAGAATTCGTGAAAAATAGAAGAGCACCGGCACCGGAAATTGAACGTTGGTCTTCCGAATCGTAACTGGCCATTTCTACTCCCACGGTTCCTTTTATTATTGTACCCGGCGATCTTGACCCCACAGTAATTTATATACTCTTGTATTTTTTTTTTCTTATTTCCCTCATGGTTCTCTTCTACCGATGGAGTTTCGCAAATTTATTGTAACAAAAGAGTTCATTTCGTTCACTCTTAATCTCGTTCATATTCAAAGTTATGAAACCCTGTTGGAAAATCTCAGCAGCTGTGTCACTCATCAGAAGCACTCCGTTAATATAAATGTCGTCTTCTCTCAATTCTTCCACCTGTGAGAGACGACAACGTTCGTCCTCGATTAACGACACAGTCAACTTTAATTCGTTCGACGGTCCCTCGTTATAGTTTCCAGGGAAACATGAATCTTAATGTCTGCTTTCCATAATCCATTTTTCCATGACGAGGCCGGAGAAGCTCGGCTCGTTCGATGCTCGCACGCAGGGTGCTCGATTTCAATTTCCAGCCTCGTTTCGAAACGTCTCGTCGCGAAGGTTTCGAGGCGAAAGAAATTCAGGATCGGGGTCAACGGAGCTAGTGGGAATGTAAACCAAATCGTGAGCTGGAACAGCAATATTCTAGCGAGATTCAGGATAGAACCGTGCTGGGATCCGAGCCAGGACGAACGACTCGCGCGACGGAATCCTTTCGAAAGGGTAAACAATGACTCGATCGCGAGCTGCATATCAAATGGAATTTCCTCTCTCACGTAGGCAGCTTTTCAATCGTCGTGAACGCAGACGTGTCTTCGTTGCATCTCGAATTTGGCAAAAGTATCGTTTAAACGTTTTAACTTTACCATCGGTTTCGACCATTCCAAAGAGAAACAAGCAACGATATTGCTTTCCAGTTTCTCCAGCATCGTTCGGCAGTTTATCGAACGGTATTGGCTGCTAGCTCGCGAAAAACAGCTTTGAAAATAGGATTGAAGAGAAGCTCGAGAAACATCGTCGAGTTAACGGCGGGGATTGTATCGTCAAGCGAGAGAGAATAAAGTTCGATCGAGCTGACACCGGTAAATATAAATGGGCTGTGCCATTGGTGCATCCCTTTTAGAGGGAAGTATCTTACCATCAGCGAAGACAAAACGCGTAATTTTCAGAGACACGTGAAATTCATTCTGCCAGATGAATTGTCCAACTTTTTATTCTCTATTGCGTTCCACGTAAATTTTGTACTTCTAAGACGTACTTTGCTCTTCGCCTGATATTTACTCAACAACGTCAGCATTAGCTTAGAGAAACTACAGTTTTGAGTTTACTGTTCAACTTTTACTACTTCGCTACTTAGTTACTATTATGTAGGTACTTTTTGTCGAGTAAGTTTTAGTATCATCCCCTCGCGCTGAAAATTTACCAAGTCGGACAAAAACATAATTGTAAAATAAATTGACTGAATACCAATTTGTAAAATCATTTATAGGATCATTACTTCAACGAGTTATAATGGAGAAACTTTTGTGAAAAATGCTTTTCAAATTCAGCTGGGAGCAATCCGTTTAGCGCGTTCGCGATAAAACTTTTGACTAATTTACATTGATCAGGATTTTAGCGGGAATTTCACTGAATTAATACGTGCAATGAGGTGAAACAAAGATTCCAATGGATATCAATGATCATTGACGGGAGCGACAATTAAAATGTCCATAGATCAGGGTGAACCGCGATCGCATTACGCTTCATGGGGTTACAAGCAATTACACCATTCAATTTATCTCGTTTTATTCAAAAGAGTCGCTCGATACATCGTTAAATCCGGCGGGATGGTATGCGTACAGTTGTTGTTGCATAATTTCCTTTCCGATTATCGCAATTGATTAATTGCATTGTTTGTTAAATTTCAGAGATTGAAAGCAGAAGCACGGGGAAAGGAATTCGAAGACCCGGAGGAAAATTCGGTGAGTCCTTAATTGAGTACTTAATTACTTATCGGATTAATGCGATATTCATTAAAGGGAAATGAAGCGAAGTCGATTAACACCGCATTGCAATTTACGTCCCTTTAATTTGCAAATTACTCGATAATAAATTGGCGGTCAAGTAATTCAAAGTTTGACACGTGGTACGCATGAAATTTACGGGAGTTTTGTTCTACCGCCAACGCAATGTATCAAATTTTCCCCGTTGAGATCTCCCGTTCGATCTGATTCTATCAGATAACAAAGAGATCCTAGGTGCTTTGTTCGAACACAATCACGAACTAGGTGGAAAAGTTTCCGTACTATTGCACCCTAACGACATCGTATTTTTCCTAGGATAATCGAATCTCGGATCAGATAACACCTTCGAACCGTGTTCAAATTGAATCTTTTACATAATTTTTCCCGTATCGCTTGATTAAAAAAAAAAAAAAGAGAGAAGATATTCATTTAGTTTACCTCGATACGTTTTGTTACATTCTTTATTCTATAAACGTTTCAGTAGAAAAAGAAAAGTTCACTTCTGCGTTAATTGAAAGTTTTTCAAAGAAGGAAGGTCGGGAAATGAAATTTTTTCTATTTATCAAGAGCTCTCATGAAAAATTTTTTAATTTCTTTTCTTACCCATTTTATAGGGTATCCATTTATCGCACGAAACAGTAAGCCTCCGGTACGAAAAAAGAACATCCTTCAAATGTTCAATCGGTTATTTTTTGGCGTCGGGTTGAACACTTAATCCCTGATACTTTGTAACAAAATATTTTCCGTGATAAGGTCTGATAAATTTTCTGTCTCGGTATTATCCAATTTCATTTGTCGTTTTTTTTTTCATCAATCTATTAAAAGAGGAATTGTTATATCTTGATTAAATAATAATTTCATTCAGAAAACGTGGAGGACGTATTTTTTCACTGAAACAACAGAACCTTAGAATCTTTTTCAATTGTTTGAAGAACATCGAGGAAAATTTATGCAACCGTTTTCGAAAAGTTGCAAAATACAATTGAGGAAGTGCTCGAGACGTTACAAGCGTTTCCTCGACGAAACTATTGGTCGTCGTTTCGATATATGTATAGTAGATAAGGTGGAATACATCGTAAATTCGGAAGTCCCATTCGTTCGAGGAGCAACATTCGATTTTGAGACGACCAATCGAAGTAAGAGGTTCGCGGGATATAAACCGTGTTTCTGCTTGGAAAACTTTACAATGGGCCAAGTTTATACGCGCCGTTTTTGCGACTCGATCGAGTTTCGGCTATTGAAAAGCTACGCGAGAGAAGGTATCTGGGTTAATTACTCTTTATCCGTCGCTTACGAAACTTGTATCTCGTGAGAGTCCATAAATTACCGACGAATCTCTTTGTTTCTTTTTCTAACGAATTTGATATTCCGAATAGGTATCGCGAACGACTTGAAAGTTCCCATTTTTTTGCGAGCTTGTGAAAAGAGAAAGAGGCAACGCGTATAACGCGAATCATTTTTCACTGACAAACTTTCAACAGCCGTTGCAGGACAAATCGTCGCTGTCGCGTTGATTCAGAAACGATTTCTCATTGTGCGAATTTCCGGCTCGAATTTTCCTCCTCGCAGTGTCTAGCGAGCTTTATGAAACGTCGCCGTTCGAAAACAGCCGGATATTTTCCGCGGTATACTGTTATGGAAATTCAAATTGTTTACGTCATTGTGGCGAACAGCTTTTTGTCCAAGTTCTCGCACGCAAATAATTACGAATTTCCATATCGATCGGCTGCCGATTCAATCCTGCTCGACCGTGTCGAACGATACCTACTGTTTGGAGTATTAATTATTAGATCAATTATGCCAGTTAAATGTACCGCGAAAACATTTAGTTTCGTGCTTACTCTTGTAACGCGATCTTTTAATTATATCCGGGAATATTTATAAACCCGGATGGATTTAATAAACGTTCGATTCGACGAATCAAATTTGTTCGGCATCCTCAAACGAAGAGACGAGTTAACATGTCAGAGTAGATTGAAGATGGCTCGTACTTGAAGAAAATCGAATTGAAACATTTGTCACGTTTCGAAGAAATCGAAAATGTAGAATGGTAGATTCCAAGCACGCAGAGTACTCGGTTCGATTTGCAGCTGGATGAAAGCTTGACAAATCAACGTTGGAAGGAGACAGGCTCGCGGGACAGATCAATCTCACTAGAAAGGAAATAAAGATAAAAAAGAATGCAAAGAACGACGCGAATTTGTCCACGAGCTCAACTTTTCCCTTAGGATTTCATTTTCGCCTCCGCGTTGCTTTTCTGACCGCAATTTCCTGCGAATCTCGCGATAGATAACGGATTCAATTTTTATTCGTCTGAAGAATAAATAATATTCACCGTCTCCTGCGAACGCGAAATAGAAAATATTTCAAGTTAAAGTTCTTTCCGCTAATAAATGTACATAGACCATTCAACCGTACCAGAATTATAGATCTGCCCTAGTTATCGTTTTATAAAGCATTGTGGCGAAAAGAAAAGAAATATTGCTCTCCTTTCGCGACTGTTATCGCGATCTTCAGTACGTGTACCGGAATACGCGATGGGCCCAAATAAGTTCCTCCTTTTTCTACAATTTTAAGTTCCACTTTGGAAGGAAAGTTTCGCGAGAGGCGTAGATGTTGGGGAAAGCTGATAGGGACGATGATCCTATCCCGCGAGATAGAAGTTTAATCTTTTAACTACATAACCAGCGATCGAGTCCTCCCGGAGTCTCATCTTCCCATTCGCACGAAGAAATTGATTGATGGATTATACGCATCGATCCTAAGTAAATTTTCTCAAATGGTCCAGTTATTTGTTCCGCGACTTTTGAAGCAAGAATTTAATACTTTTATCAGAGGTGATTCGATCTTTCAAATTGTTTCGCGTCTCTTTCGATCCGGTCTCGATAAACTCGGTCCTAAGTAAATTTCTCCGACTGTAGGTTCTCGAAGAAATAAAAGTTCCCATCAGCGTTTCGAAGTGGCGATTCGATTTCACGAGTCAAAGTCGAAACTCGATCCAGCCGAGCTGTTTGGAGTCGAACTCGACCTTGCTCTTGTCCTATCTTTTCATCGTCGCGTTACGGGGCAATCGATATCCCGGTGTCCGCGCACAGGGTGCACCAAGTCAAACATTATTATCGATAGTGGGAGCCCTTGTCCGCCCTCCTCGTTTTGTTGCGTCCAGCGTGCAACGTTAATTGAACGTGCACCTACATCCTGTGGGTTTATGGCTAGAAAGGCGTCCGCTGGTCGTCCTCTAAGGGACGCTCGCGTCGACCAATTGTGCTCACCCTTCGTCCCGATCCGGCGACCGCCGTAACAAACCGTGTTTCATGGACTTTATTGTTCCAAGCTGGTACAACAGCCACCGAGTTACAATTAATCGTCACTGTCCCGAACAATGTTGCTCGAATTCGTATTGTATCCCGTTGTTATTGTCAACGGTGGTTCATATTGTGCGGCTTCCGAGCTGATCGTGCTTGTTTTTGTTGCGGCGTTAGGCAACAGCGATTGTAGGCACTGCCGAAAATGAGGGGTGTTGGAGTGTGCGATGAATGAACTGTCCTGTAGACGAATTGGGTTTGGAGAAATTGATGGGTTGATCGTCGCGAGGGGTCGGTGACGAATTGAATTTGACCAGACAGATGGGAAATCAAGAGAAAATATTGGATATGAAAAGAAATCCTTAATTTTTTGATGGCCAATTAAACCCTCCAGAGTTTGCCTCGACGGGTTGTTTAAAGGGAGCATCTGTGATAAATAATTGTATAAGCCTGCTAGGTATGGAACTTTCTTAAATAAAGGTACACGAGGATTAATAGAACGCTCAATTCTTAATGGGAATTCAGCCTGCAAGGAATAGGGGTAATTAAATGTTAAGTCTTTGAATTCATTACGATAAGAAACTAAAGACAAGATTTCGATATCGATACAAAGGGATGTTGAATATTTGGATTGCTTAGTTTGCGGGATCAATTACTAATCAACGCCACAGTAATATAATATTACAATTGCAATCTGTCGAAACGATCGTTCTGTAATATCGCCTGTAATGAAATGACATTATCATACCAAATCTGACCTAAACCTGGTTGCAATTTACTCTGATTATCGTGGAACATTACGTATTATCATTGCAAATACAGTAATGTGTCGCGTTTGAAAATCGTAGCTTCACCGCTGATTAATTCGATCCAATTAGTCCTCCTACGTAAAAGGTATCACCAGTTAAATTTTTTAAGTAGGTAATTCGAGCATCGAAGTAGAATAAGAAATATCGCGATGGTTCGCAATGTATCGAATAACTTGAAAAATAAACAATAAAATCTTTTTAATGATATTTCAAGAATTAACGAAAGGGCATAAGTTGCTGAAATTAATTGAAAATCTAAAATTTCACTAAAATCTTTTAAAGAAGGAGGTTCGCGTATTGCAAAATAATATCTAAAGTAATAATTGAAAATCTAGTTGTTTTCTTTTATATTCTTTTGTTTCGCGCCATTCGCGAGAGAACATCTTTCAGCAGCATTCAGTCTAAAAAATCTTTTAGCCATCGTTCGAAAGTAACGAAGTAAAATGGTTTCGCGGAAAAACCACCATAAGAAATTTCAAATATACACACATCTGTTGCGAAGAAGTTGCGCGAAGTTTCATACACAACTGGGAATACGTCGCATAGGCGAATATTAAACCGAAGATTAATTAATTTATGGATAGCAAAAACAGAGAATATCGCGCGCGCCACGTTGACAACGAATAATGAATGTCACTGAAGTTTTATCCGAGAAATGTCATGAAAAATAGTTGAATAAGCCAGCTGGAAAAACACACCGTGTGTGCAGAAAGAAAGCAAATTTTAATTTCCCTGTTGAAATTATCAGCATCGGAGAATCGCAAATAGGATAATATAGAATAATGAAATTTTGCATACAATTTTTCATCCTGAAATTCATGTTTTAAAAAATAAAAATGGCGAGAGAAAAAAAAAAACGCGATAGCATTTCTGTTTTTGTTTCCAAAAACTTCTGTTCCTTTTCCAACACACCGTGTACATGGTTGTACAAATGAACGATAATTATATTTCTGCTGTCTAATTAGACTTTTCTCAGTTGTTAGTTTCAAATTCGCATTTCCAGCACGGTCAATGAGAAAGTTTCGCGGGCTATGATAGAAAGGTCCATTTAGATTGCGAAAAACGTGTTATCAGTCTGGTTCTTCTTTCAGGGAAACTTGTTTCGAGTTTCGCTCAGGTGATAATGGTGGTAGCGATGATCGTATAAAAACTTTCCACGAGACTTTCCTTTGCGTTTTCATATACATGAGCAGAAAAAAAAAGATCTCGTCTCTATTTTTACCCCGTGAACTTGCTTCCAATTATCATTATATCCCGACGGTGTTTTGAACCACGCCTCGGGAGGAACATCTTTATAACCTCGGACGGATACCTTCGGCTTTTGAATTAGCTTCTGTAAACGAAGCATGCCTTTGTGAATCTCGACGAATTTTAAAATTAATCCCTAGCTCCTAGCCCGCGGCCAATCTGCCCGTGGCCAATTCTCTTCTCGAGGCCGTCAGGCCAGAATTATCCGAGGAAATTTGCATGTTAGGTGACTGCTCTTAACACGACCGTTTGCTCTTTACCGTGTTATCGTCTCGAGCCTGGAATCCAAGGGTCTTTTAAACTGTCCCTGCCGGTGATTTCGTCTGGGAACAAATGTGGTTCGTTCAAGAGCAGCGTGTTAAATACGAGATTATAACATCGTCCTTGTATTCGAGTATAAGGGTTAGGTGAAAGAACTCGTCTGAAGATTTCAGATATCACCCAGTCTACCTACATTTTGCCATCCAAGCAAAGCAACTATTTCAAATTTCACACTCGTATCTCTTGAATCCATCCATTCGTAATTAAAGTACGCGGGCGTTGTATCCTCTGCTACCAATACTATTATCGCAACCTTCCGCATAAATGGTTTTAATTCAAAGTACGAAACGAACAAACAGTACGATCACCGATAAATCGCCCGTTCCGTCGCATACAGCGTTGCTCGACGAGGACCGAGGATACCCGTGAATCTTCTCTATCAAATCGAACGAACGACTAGCAAGATACACGGCGTTAAAAGTGACGCCCATGCAAGCCACCATTGCCGACCATTGTACGAAAGTCACGCTCTGAAAGGACTTTGGTAAATGGTGCAATCTACCGCGCCATTTCCGACAGCTGACGGAACAGTTGGCCAGATAAGACCGCAGGGAAATGCGGAAGCATCGACGTGTATATAGAGGAACGTGGTTGCGTGCCGAAAAGCTCTGTCGTGCAATTGAAAATCATGCGGCATCTATCCGTGATGAATAAACGATGGAACGAAGAATTGTCTTGAAAAAATGAATTGAAAGCTCCTTAGCACGAAAGAGTTTCTAGGATTTGATTGAAATGAAAAATTGAAAACTTGTCGCTTAATTAAAAATCTTGCATTCCGTCTGACATTCACGGTAAAGGCAAACGACAAAAGCAAGGATTGCGTTTTAAAAATGGATTAGCTCGGCAGGATGAGCCTTCTTTGAATGACAGCCACAAAGTTTTTTACACAGGCGTTTCGAGATTACTTCGAACCCGGTAACCTTGTTTAATAACGTTGAAATTTGTTGCCGTTGTCGCGTTGAAGACGATAAACAGAATCTTTATTAAAATAGCTACAAAGTGTAGTGTCGCGTGGGCACACCCTTTTCCATCTTAGCTACTGTGGAAGCTGCTGGCACACCTGTAAACAAACTGTACCACGGCACACAGAGAGGGTGCAGATGTTTACCGACTTTCTCTTCTTACACATTAATTTGCCGGTTCTGTACACAAAAGCCTCGTCTTTATAGCCATTGCCGTGGCTGCGTTTAGGGAATACCATCGGGGAAATGAGTTTCGAACGTGGTGTATCGGAGGAATCAGGTTCGCCGGGAAATTGTTTCGTCGACGAAACGGAGAATCTGTTTGCAAGAAGAAAAGAGCAACGACAAACGATTGATTGAATCTTTGAACTGATACGATTGAGATCAGGTGGTACAACGGGACCGTTTGGGATTCGGGCTTCCGGAAATCTGCGTGGGAGGATTAGAGGTTGCATTGCGGTGTGTAATGCAGTGAAAATGCATCATCCATATTCGGCCGGCTGGAATACCATTAATATCGCGTTAAATATGCATCGATGCTACTTGGCCTGGCAAGTTGCATCCTGTACGAAAGTGATCCTCCAAGCAACGATCTAATGTCATCGTGAAAATTCATACCATTATTTGATGGAATAGAAAACTTCAAACTGAAGCGACTCCATAATAATTGATTAGTTAATTACACGATATGTTAAATTGGAAAATGAAACTGCAGTATGAATCTTAATAATTGCATCATAGTATGCCATTTTGATTGCACCAGTTAAAGTGCGGATGATGTAAGGGGTTTCATTTATTTTAGAACCGCATAAAATGAAAACTCATGCGTAACGGTGATCTCTCATGAGAAATCAGAGCGTCGCGTATATGCGACACTGTTAGCGTGTTAAGATTACTTAAAAGTTTTCAACGAGGAACAATCGAGCAGGCTAATGTTCCATGGGACTGTTCCGTTCGGTTAATTCGCGTGTCTTCAACAAAGTTTAAGAAAGTTTTGTGAATAGGCCGTTCGGTCAAAGGCATAGTTCATTTTCCCTCGCGTGTTTATTCTGGCTCATTTTATCCTACGATACCACAAATTACAAAATCTATTTTTACCTAACGAGGCGGTTTAAACAGCCTACCCTTTGATGTCAATTCACGGTTTTAAATTGGAACTCATTTTCGCGCGCCTTTATGGGGAAGCAATTAAAATTTTTAATTTGTTGCACCGTTCATTTTCTCTCACAGATGTACAGATTAAGAAGCCTAATTTGATCTTTTTAAATTTTCAAAAACAAATCATCACTCTTCACTGCTCGGTAATTATCTAAATCCTCCATGAAATTTGAGTGGAAACAAAAATTATTTTTTCTATATCGTCGAAAGAAGTGCACAAAAATAAGAAATAAATTAAAAAAAAATAAAATAAATAAAACACGGTGGTACTTACCTGTACAGAAAGCAGCGAGTAGAAGAGCGCGACGGCTCGACTCGGTTAACAGGTGTAAACCGTGAGCGCGGCAAAGGTTCGAGTGGTCCTTGGTTGATCCGCCGGTAACACGGTGGACGGTACGCTGCGGTGTAAATCTCGTCTGGCCTCGTCAGTTGGCGACAAGTGGAAATTGAAGGTTCGATGATTAGGTCAATTGACTAGTAAGTGACGAGGTCGAAATTAGGTGAACGTGGTCGTGCGCTGGTGGATCGCAGTTGCTGCTAGACGAACACAGCGTTGCGGACGAGCTAGCTCTGTCCGGTACTTCGGTACCGTGCCGGGTGATATCCTCGCTTTCAGTCGGCGTCTGCGCTCTCGTAACCTTCCGACCTTCTCTTCCACCTGCACACCCCCACCGAATACGCCCGGCGTATTTTAGACTGCAGCCGCGATAGCTGCTTGTCTTCGTTCCTCTTTGTCATTTCGTTCCGTCCCCTCCTCTTCGTCTATAACCCTCTTTACTCTTCGTCCTTCGCGTTCACCTGATTTGCCTACCATCACCTGACGGTACACACCTGAGGTAGGGTCACTGGTTCTGCTCGTCGGAGAACGTCCAAGCGGGCTGAGGCCGAACAACCTCCCGTTGCTCGTGTGTACTCCGAGGGGTGAATGTTTGTTTTTCGCGGAAAACGTAGGTGGTAATTACGGCTGTTTATCGGTTGTCTAGTTAATATTTGCTTTAAACTTACTGGCTACATTCGCGGTGTTGGTAACTCGTTTATAAAAAGAAAGAATATTCTTTTTTCAACCCTTTTGTCTTTTCTTCTGAAACTTTTTCCTTCGACGATCTATCGTTTTTCTTATTTGAAATTTCGTCAAATCCCTGAGAAATTGTTCTTTCAATTTATTCTTCATATTATTCGGGATCTTCTTTGCTGGCGCGCGCGCAAAGTTTAGACGTTTTTCAAGAATTTTATTTGATAGCAAAGTTTCGGTATCTTTCGAAGTAAACCGACCAAGTTGCCGGGATGAAGTGACTGTTTACTCGAAATCTAGATAAGACTCCGGTTCGTAAAAGGAATCGGACAAATATTGCCATCATTTTGATTTGCAAATAACCGTATCGTTTGTACCCGACAACGCGGATAAAGAAGACGTATCGATCTGCCGCGAAAATATTACCAAACGTTGAGAAACTGATCTAGGCTACGATGCATCTCATAAATTTCTCTTCTTGGATCAAGCAACGAATCTCTGTAAATAATAAATTTGACAGTTACCGCGATACACCCCGATGGTTAGATTTTTCGATCGATCCACGCCGGAAACGCGATACACCGCTGGAACCAGGGTCAACGTTCGCGGCCCGCCTCTTGCATCAAATTCAAACCGTGTTTCGCGGCGGTGCTATTTTCACACAACCACTCCATTTACCTAGACAAACTAATCAAACTTTGAAACGGTAGGCAAGCGTGAAACTTGTCTATCCTCGACGCTGAAAGAGCGTGTCCCGAACGCGTTCTGCGAATAATTTCGTTGCATTCTTCCGATTAACCTTCGTTAAAAGCTCTCTCGTATCGCGTGATAAAAGTTTTAGTTTAATCCTTTTATAGCCTGGTATGAGAGTTTCAGCAAAGTATTACGTTTGCACAGCTATTCATATAAAAGGTTATTATTTATTATTACTTATAGTAATTGGATGAATATTATTACATAAAAGTTTTATTCGTTCAAAAAGTCATGGTCATATCGCATTAGAATCGAGACAGAAATGATATTTAACTTCTACTAGTATATTTATGAAAAGATTAACGATGTTACGAAGTGTTTTGGCAAGTTGAGAACACGAGCGTGTTTATCCTTTCCTTCCTCGATTATGTTCGCCCAAGTTGAGGGGTGGTTTCGATGCACCTGAGATACGGTCAATGTTTGCGTGTGCAACTTCGATGAGATTCAACATGCTTCTATGTATATCCTGGTCGATGGAAGGATTAGACGAGGTGAAGCGAGCATCCCCACCGAGGTGGGGTCATTCAATTTTACCAGTTCCCCGAAAGTTTTCCAATTTTACGTCTCTGTTCTGGATCAGTGGACGTCGTTACTCGAAAACTGTTGCTCTTAGTGTGCGTTTTCAGTTTTTCAGTAAACGCGTAAGTCAGAACACTGTTAACATCTCATATTGGTTAACAAATAAAAAAAGAGACTGTATTATCTTTCAATTTATCTTTGAACAAGCTTGGAGTTTTTGTAAATTTGTTTTGTCGCCCAACGCTGACAATGAGAAAACAGGAGGGTGATAGTATCGGGGTGGAAAGTTTCGTCGCGACGTTCTCGACGCTTTTTCCCGGGGCAATAGCCGAAATCGAGACTTGTTTTCGCCCAGTGTACAGCCAATTCGAGAGGAATATCGACGTCAGCAAATATCAGCGATCCACTTTGCAGGGAACGAGCGGATTTCCTTTCCGCTTTTAACCCGTTTCTTGCCTCGCCACGGCTGACCGCGTACGTACCTATACTACTTAAAGACAGAGACACGCTGAAACGGAGCAACAAACGTGAAAGTAGTGCATTTAAAGAGGGACATTTCCGTTTTTAACAGACCTGGTAAATTACTTCATTTTAGAACGTCGAATAAAATTTCAGTTAATTCGCCTGACTGATACGCCTCGGAAACATTAATTGGGAAATTTATGATCGTCGTTAATTGACCTGTCATGATTAATTCAGCAATTAGTTCAAATGTGCTTTCGCTAATATACGATTATATACCCAGATGTTTTACCTTCGCATAAAATCGTTGTACTATATTTTGTATTTGAACAATTGATCTGTTCGAATAAGGGAGGTTTAACATAAATTTTTCAAAATTGATTTGGACTTTGATAAAGTTCGAATGTAGATACTTCGAATTTCGAAAAGTAAAAATTCTCTTCGAAATTGGAGAAATTTTTACGAGGAAAGTAGGACAACGCGCCCTGTCGCGCGATTCCTCGAGACGTAGGGGTAGGTACGGAGTCATCGAGCTGCACCGGAATTACGATGAAATAAAACTCGGAACACGTGCGGTGACCGTTCGAGGAAGCTTCGCGGGACATCACGAAATTCCAAGGAAACGAGAATTTCCGGGATACCGGGCGAACGACACGATCTTAAGACTTAAGAGTGAATTTCTCGAAGGCAACCGCGATTGCGCGCTTCGGCAACCCTCGAAATAATTCGTCTCGCGAACCGTGACTCCCCTCCTCGTCAGAAACGAACCGTGAATAATTCATTTCTTCGGAATTTAACAACGTTCCGTGGTTTTCACGGTTAACGTCCCGTCTCGATTTTCCACCCTGAAAAATCCACGGATTACCACGAGGAACATCTTATTTTTCACCAAGTACAGTGTACAAACTGTCCCATCGTTTCATCGAGCGAAAAGTATCAAGGTCAGACTTGTCAGGGACACTTGAAAGACTTAGACGATATGGACGATTAATTTTATGACCAGGTCTTAGATGGTCTGCCTGGTGTTTAGCTGTTAAATACTTTGCTGCTCTGGGTGAGAGACTATTGGTGGATAATGGATTATTGGGTCGTTAAGGTGGGGTGTGTAATGTGTTGTGGAAGCTCTTAAGGTACCATTAAATTTTCACCTTTTCTTCGCTTCACTTCTATGACAATAGTTTGTTGGTAAATGTAAGAAGTTACTCTCGGAACACCATCTCCTGGGGTAAATATTTAATCGCGTACTTGTGTCTAGGAAGCGAAAGCTTGTAAAGAGATAAAATTAGCAAACTATCGACAGGTCTACTTACAAGATAGACTTTATCGTGCTCACGTGCTTATTTTTATTCGATGCTTCTTTGTTTTTATTCGCGTTCAGACGAGAAAAAAGAAAACATTAAAAGAGTACGGTACAGTCGATAGATAATTTTGCGTTTATTTTTCTCGTTTGTTTGACGTTCAAGGCGAATCAATCGAAATGTATTTTTATAGCCTCCGGTGTATTAGATTGTTTCTTCTCGTTAGATTTTACGGTAACTAGAGTAGCACTTATGGAAGCATAATGCGTTTCAAGATGTTCATCATTCATTCATTCGACGTCGTAAGACGCTGCAACGTAAAGGAACATCGAATATTTCTTGCCTTAGGGCATTGCGAGACATTGACGTGACGTTCACAAGGGTGCATAAATTCCCTTAGTTATACCTCCAGGGTGACTTATAAAATCCGTCGTAGTAAAACTATAGGTACTGTGGCTGTATGAATATCATAAGAGAATAACGGCTGATCTCGAGGTGTGAAAACATTCACGCAGCGGTGATCTTGTTTGTTAACCAAAGATCAAAGCTGAAAAAGGTTGCTCGAGAATACAATTTCATTGAATTCCTATCATTTGATTCGCGTATCGCAAGAACAGAGCAGCACGATATTCTTCGAGTATCTTTGATAAAAGTTTTAATAAAAGTGCACGTGAGTTCACCCAAAGGTGTTATTCTAAGAGAGCTCAGTCGCAGTATTTTCCTGAAAATTTAGAAATTTCTGAGGAATAAAAATGAGGAACTTTGGAAAAATTCCTAGAAGAAAGGTATTTCACTTGACAATGGATTACTCTATCCAGCCTTTCCTGTAATAATTGAGTGTGGGGGTTGCCGATACCACAAACAGGAAATAAAACTGAATGTTCGGTGGTATGCCTTTCATTCAGAGTGGCACGGAGGTGAAAGCGAAACGCGACAGAACGGAATTTCCAATCTCCTCTCATCTTCCAGCGAAATCAAGCCTCGAAAAGCATCGTTGGCATCCGCTGGACTCGCAAGCACGTCGATCTATCCGCGTGCACACCGATCGGTGCGCAAGTTCTCGCCCAGATATTTCGCTAAGTTAAACCACAGAATAATTTCGTTTACTCCGTTTCCTTATTGCTCGATACAAAGAGAGACATCTAAATAGTAGTTGAATAGAAAAAGAAATTGAATGAGAGAGCAGGTAGTAGCAACGACATGCCCGCGACCAGAATCGACCCTCCCTCTTTGATTTCTACGAGATGCCAGCTAAATTTCCCGTGAAACAAGCCACGTAGACGTCATCGTTTCGCCGTTATTGCCGTTCGCCTTATTCCTTTTCAACCTATCGACGACGCTTCTCGTTGTCTTTCTCGCGAAACCCTCCGAGAAATTGGCCGCGGACCTCGCTCACCTCCAAACACAGAACGGTTCGTTTGTCGCGTTCAACGCAGAGAATCATTCGAGTTAAATAAATATTTTTATTCGGTCCTGCTTCGCTGCTTTCCCAATAACGGCCGAATGTTTATGGGATACCGAGAATTTTGTTCCCCTTC